ACATCACTGCCGAGATGACACGAAAGAAAACCCAGGTTATTTATAATCCTTTTGGAGAAAAGAAATTCTACAGTTAAGCAGTTCCGTTTGATTATTACTCAAGGCACGAGCTTGGTAAGATTAAATGCGGTGTTTTTTTCCCTAACGGAAATTGTATGTCATTTTTAGGGGGAATCTATCAACACATTCGTTGACAGCCTTCGTCTAAGACGGTGACTGATGAAAATGAATGGATGAAAATTTGCAAATTGCGATTGTCGGTATTTTCGTTTGCCTTTGACGATTTGCGTCCAGGCGAGGACATTAATGTTAATATTAAAACTACAAGAGTTACGTGCGCCTTGAAAAACTGGATCCGAGATAAATGAGATATTTCTGTCCGAGATTAAGCCTGATGCATATTCCCTATAGGACATGACAAACACCGCCATAAAAAGTCGGTAAAAAATGTTGTGACGTGATGGTACAGAGTACAATTTATAGAAATCAGCTCTACTGTTGGTTTATTCCAGTGTTATACTAAACCTTTTGGGGAGATTTTACCAAAACGTGCGGGCATTGAAATTTTGTTCCACGTTCGGCACACTCTGTGCAATATTTTTAATGGGTGAAACATTTATTCAATACGTATTTCATGTAATATTTTGGTGTGTTGTGCTGGAACTAAAGTTGCCTTCGCGAATATTTTTTTGACTGAATGGGAACATCAATTAAATTCATTGATTTATTTCCTGACGTTGATTTTTTTTATTTCTCCCTGGTATAGAAGCCTGATACCTACATTGGGTGTACGGGTAAACGCACTTTGATTAGGCACAAATTTCAATCAGATACTAGGCACCAGTCTGTCACTCTGGCAAGTGACAGTTACCGTGAAAATTACTTGCAAAACTTGATTGCCATAAAGTCACTTTACTACGTGGGCCTCCCATTACATAGACCGTCACAAAAAAAATCGATTAGAATCTGTACCTTCTCCTGCCACGGTTCCCATACGATATTACAACCCAGATGCTACGTGCGTTTAGTTAACAACTCGATTTATTGCTTTTTCACAAGAGTGCCAAAAACTTGAAAATGTCATATCCTGGAATGATTAATGTGAAAATAATGAGGCTGCGTTCTCGAAAGCTTGGCGAGGCGTCAGAACATGGATTGTGATATACGTTGACATCTCTGCAATTTTGTGGATAGCATGGGCTTTCTGTGTTAAATCTAAAAGCTCAGGTTATTAATTAATAATCGTTTAAAAACGAGAACCAATGTATAGCGCTGATTCTTGACCTTTTTAACTTTTGTTTATTAACTAATTGAACCAGTTGCTAGTTTATATTTTATGTTGGTTATAGACAGCATAATGTTCTTTCTTTGTTTTACCAAAATTTCATTTGTTTCATTGCCATATGCTTTTTTTCTGATCCACATGTAGTACATAAATTAGGTCAAGCCAAAAGAAAATCCTTACTACGGCAATTGTAGTTTAACAGGGATATTTATAAAATGAAAATATGGAATGATCTATTTATTTAATGTTCATACGTGCTTTTATTAAGGTCGTTTTAGCGCACTTGACACAACCAGAATCGCAGACGATCGGCGTAACTGCCCCTACGGCTTCCGATTGTCTGCGACATGGTTACTGCTTTGAGTGCTTTCATTATGATCGACAGTAAACGCTACCTCCCACTTAAACGTAACATCCAAGTTACTCTCTTCTTCAAAATTAAACAAACAGTACTAAGTATAGGACATATTTGACATTAAACAGAAAGTCATACATCGTTCACCTCTGCGATGATATTTCTTAAAACTTGACACAGAAGATGGATTGTGTTATCGGTCCATGACAAACCTTGAACGATTCATTTCCCAGACTTTGGTAGATTATAATAACTTCCTTGAAACATTGGTTTGTCAGAATTGTATTTGTTCACGAAGTGACATTTATTTTTTTAAAGCCAAGAGAATGTTTAACTACAGTTTTTTTTTAAATTTCTACAAACGAATTGGATGTGTCCACATCCTTAGTGCACAGTGCCCAGTATATTTATGCAGATGGAGCTGCTTGTTGATGTATAGCCGAACTAATTCCAGCTCTGCAGCTCAAGTTTATTTTAATAGTTGTCTGGCAACATTGGCGATACATAGCACGTGCAGTCACTATGGTTCTGGCGGAATAGCGATTACTGATTATTATCGCATAACACATCTGGAGTGCTGTAGTCGTAATAAATTAAGAGTGATATTTACAGAATAACAAATGATATTCACAGGAGAGTTAAATCGGTATTTACAATAATAATGTTACATAATTTTAATATAGACTAATATGTATTCACATTTTTGTAAACTATTAAACAGTCTTGCGATAGTTATATTGTGACTGTACCAGGGCGTAAATCCCGGAGAGGGGTATGACCCCCCCCCCCCCCCCCCCCCACTTTTTGACCTGGGGATAGGTTATTGAATCATCCCCCACACACTTTTTCGTGATGAGAAACAAATGTTGATTTCGAGGAATTTTTCAAAATTCGAACAACAAAAACGTATTCAATAGCACTGAAAAGTGGAGAAGCAAAGTACAAAAGCTTTTAAAATGTGCCGTTTTGATGTAAGCGCGAGTATACATATTGATATACATCTATATCCTGAAGAGCGCCCCCTAGTGTAATGTGTGTGTCCCCCCCCCCCCCCTTCGAATTTCAACAGCTGGGTATTTTTTTATTTTGGTCATCCCCATTCCCCCCTCCCCTCCACTCGCAGGCACAGATTTACGCCACTGGACTGTACACAATTGTATTCAGTGAAATGACCACATTATATCCTCTACATAGTCACAAGTATTATTTTCAATGCTATAATGAAAACTATATTACTATGAATATATTATCATCGACGTTGTTGTATGATATAAGATTATCATAAATTACAGTATTGCTACACATCTTGCGTTACTAAATACCGAATCATTTCACCATTTTGAGTAATGGAAATTGAACACGCGTCGTCTTAATTTCATTTTAGAAAACTAATACACACGATTTTATAATCTGGTGCTAGCAAGATTACGAATCATTCCACAAACATTTTTTTTAAATGTTGTCAGAACAATTTGATATCTTTGAGGCGAGTCTTTATTTTCAGAAACGGCACTTATCAATGGCCTTAAATCCTTAACAAAGACTTAAAATTAAAAAAAGCCTTTGAAATATAATCTAAACTGTCGTGGATATTTGGTGATGATATAGATTTTTACCAATAGTATCATAAAAACAAAGACACGCATATATCCATCATCCACATGCTGGATAAGAAAAGTTTCAGGATTTGATGTTTAATTGGCTTAAAAGCTCCGCTCTTGTACAGTCTGTGATCAATCACACTCCACGTTTGGACGCCTGTCTCTAAGAAACGCCAATTGAAATAGGATGCGAAATATTACCTCAGGCATAATGGAGTGACGACAATATATCACTATCAAAGCTTATTATTCTAATTTGTAATTTCCAAGTCGTATACTTTCAAATCAATTAAGACTGATGCCACTAACCAGATATTACATGTAATACTCATCGCTTAGGTTATCACCAACCGCCATTGGCATTGATGGATGAACCAATGAATAAGCTTTCCGCACTGTAAACAAATTCAGTTGGGTGAAACACTGTTGGGCAAATTGCCCAACCTTGGTAGGAAGTAACCTCGTTGTGGGTTAATGCGGATAAATATTTACCAACTATCGGGGAGTTTTCGCCTCAGACTGTATATAGGCAGTTGGTATGTTAACCAACATTGGGAAAAAACACCGACGCATTTGCCCAACTTTTTTAAACAGTGCGTGAAGCTACTTTTAGGTAGAACCGATCACAACTTGACGCGATGTTAAAATCGTCTTTTTCTCAGAAAAAAAATACGTGTCGTGTGACGTCATATATTCTACGCGCATACTGACTGAAAAATAAGAGGTTTTTTTTACAAAACTGCATGGGTACATCAAAGTTTTCTGTAACAATATTTCTAGGTATAACACTCTGCAAGCACTTCTCCTCTGAGCAGTTCCCATGCGAGTATATATCGAACAAACGTTCATTCAAATAAGGTATATTAGTTTAGCACCTATGCATTCAAGTGCAAATATTCTTATTTTCTCCATTTGTTTTTCATCTAAATGTTTAGGATAAAATCACATGAGAATCACTTGTGTCCGAGCAGGATGAAAAGTGACACTGGCAACGCGTTGAGTTTATTGCACGATACAGAGAATGCACAATTATTGCTCGCCTAATATTATTCATTTTGAGGAAGTTCTCAATTCCCGAGCTCGAATTCGATCGAGCTTCTTTAAAACCAGATCAATTTCACCCATGCCTAAACACTGCAAACTTTAATAAATATTTCCTATAATATTACATAAATTCACACAATTATAAGGTTTTTGTTTCTTGCTGATGAATGTTATTAATACACTACAAAAACTGTAGTGTTAATTTAACACCATTCGGTATCTATATAGGACAACACCAGTAAAATTTAACACCAGATGGTCCTATATAGATGCCAATGGTGTAAATTTAACACTCCAGATTTTGCAGTGTACAAATGCTGACGGCTTCACAAGAAGTCGTAAAAACAGACAAAGGCGACATGTCAGGAGATCGACGCGGACGTTATGAGTGTCTGCGACTGCTTGTGATCTGTCGCAACGCTTACTGTGCTCATTGTGATCTAGACACTATAAGATGATCTTATTCTCTCAATTTCAAAGAGTGAAAATTCACTCCATTCGAGTGAAGATTCACTCCCACAGTCGGAAACTATGGGACTAGACGTTTTAGATTGTAATTCCTTCAATCGTAAAAAGCGAGTTTTCACTCGAGCTTCGACTGAAGTGGGTTTTTTCCCCAGATTTTTTCAATCTAAAATGAGAGTCTTTTTCTCTCTAAAGCGTCCAGTCCCTAATTACACTCTTTGGAATTTAGAGAGTACGGTGATGTTGAGACTTAAGATCTGTTAAGACTGCGCTGCGATGGCTGTTGAGACCGTGAGACGGCCTTGGGTCTGACCGTCCGGACCGTCACATTCACCGTGTTGAACTCCTCCTCACCCGCTAAGGAATCGGCGTTGCTTCCGACCCTGTTTCCTTTCCTCCGCACCATGTTCATGAATCCATGCCTGAAATGCTTGTTCTTAAAGGCATAGATGATGGGATTAGCGCAGGAATTGGCGAAGGCTAGGAGCACCATGAACCGGTAGAGCGGTTCGCCTAAGTAGGTGTCCGGAACGCCTCCAAAGTGGTAGATGTAGAAGCCGATCTGGTCAGGAGTCCAACAGACGATGAAGGTGATGATCACGATGAAGAGCGTCTCGATTACCCTCCGGCGGGCTTCGAGGAGAGAGTAGGCCGGGCTGAAGCGCGACTGGTCCCGCTGAAGCAAAGCTCGCGCCTGGGACTTCAAGGTCCGTACGGTGATGATGTTGGCCACCAACATGATGACCATCGGTATGAAGTACTCAAGGAAAAACACCGAGGTGGCGATGAGGTACCGGAAGCCTAAACTCGGCCAGTGGTTCTGGCATTTGCCCGTCTCGTTCAGATCCACTATGTAGAGATTGAAGGTATTGATGACCACTGAACTCAGCCACGTGCACGCCATGATGGCACGGGGCCGCCACTTGGAGAAAATCACCCGGTAGCGCATGGGGTAGACCACGGCGAAATACCGCTCCAGGGAGACCCAGGTGAGCGTGAGCAGTGAAGCTACGATGGAAATCCACATGAACACCAAGTTGAAGATCATCTTGCAGTACAACCGGCCGACCGGGGACATTGGGATGTTGGAGAGAACGGGAATTGGGATGATAAAGATTGAAGTTATCAAATCTGCCACGGCTAAATTCACTATGAAGGCGTTGGTCGTGTTCCGCATACGGCGGCGGTGGACGTAGACCACAATCACCAGAGTGTTGCCAATGATCCCAGTGATGGCGAAAATCAGCCGCAAGATCTCGATCCAATCCCACACTAAGGTGGACACCCATTCCTTTCCCTCAATCGGAGAAGTGTCGTTCTCCATTCTTTCCGAAGTAGAGATGCTGAATACTAACACTGCAAAAGATAATTCTTCCAGTCATACCATTCCGAAATTTTCAGATCAGCATGTGGTTTGCATCGCACATTTCGTGATTAGGACTACAAAAATTGCAAAGCATTTCACAAATCCTGTTGGTTCTGCTGTGGAAAATTTGTCAACGCAGTGTTAGCATGCTCCACTGAAGTTGACTCTGCCGGTGAATTGAGGATCCATACAACGTCAGTAAGGAGTTCGATCTGACGATAAATAAACCGTAACGCCAGTTCCCGCTCTTCAAAACATTCTTTCAAACACCATTCACTGTGTTACACACTGATCCGACGCGGGCACTGTCTTGTATAAACACTTGTATTTTTTATCCACGTTCAGTGGCGACGTCAACCTGTCAGACTTGGACGACCAATTGCCTGCTTGATGTCACATCACGTGACCTTAGCACAGGTGCCGAAGTCAGGTGAATTTCTTGTGTCACTCCCACGTACGCTTGTATTCACACGGGCTATAGTTTGCAAATACTTGTGCGATTGTCGAATAGTCAGTTCCCTTTCCTAGTTGTTACCAGGATTGTGATTTACGAAGTCAACCCCGCGATCCTTTAATTCAAATGACCGTCCAAATATGGTTTTGTTGATTGTGGTCTCTCATTCATTAAAAAGTACCATTCCACTCTGTTGCAGTGTTTACTGCCTATCTTTTACGTCGCCGCTTAGCCCTTAAGGGAATAATCAACAATATTAACTCATTTCCCTGCCAATATTTCTCACTTATTCGTTTTTCCTCTCATCATTAAAAAGTCTTTGGACACCAGCGGTTCAAACAACCGGACGACTTGTACATATTTGCTGACCGTGATCTTGTCAGCAAAACTCCGCGAGAGCTCTCGGCCAGCGGAGATCAAGCAGAAGATCGTGCCGGGCCGAGGGACGAAATAGCCCCGCTGGACGGGTCGGCTCGGACGCGCTAAACAGTTGCATTGAAAGGCGCCATACACTGCCTTGAACCGTCTTTGAAGAAAAAAAGTCTTGAGGCAATTAATCTTGAAAAATGACACAGGCCCTGGGTGGATAAACTCCGAGATGAAGACGAATTGTGCGTTGATGTTATCACTAGCGTGAGGGTATTCGCGAAAGCGCTATGCATGCGTTTGCACAGGCTGTGCGCCTATGATTTTTTTATACCTTACCATGTTTATGGGTACAACATGCGCAGACATGGCTACCTAGACCATTAGGTCATGTCAGATTGTCTCATTACGTGGCGTGATGCATGACGATGCTAGGGTCTGGAGCGGGTGAGCCACACGAACTCACCTAGAGGTGCCCGGTGACATCATCACAAACTTCACGGTCGCTTGGTAACAACGGGGACTCGTTTGCAGGCGTAAAATGGATGACAAGCACATGGTATACTGCAGATTGATCGTTTCTGTTTGGCAACGAGGTTGAGGAATTGACTATAACTGCTGCGGGATTGGCTGGTTTGGAGTAGTTCTTAGTTTGTGTGTGGATGTTTCGGTGAAAGGAAGGGAAAAAGATTGTACGGAACATGCATGGTAAACCACGCATTACTCGTTGCTATCTGGGAACGAGGTGGAGAAATCGATGTAACTGCACTGTGATTGGTTGGTTGTTATCGATCCTAGTTTGTGGTTGGATGATTTGATTCTGATTCGGAATGGGTAATTTGCATATTTAGGTTAAAAGAGCGGCTATACGTGGAAACTTTGGCAAATGTAACAATTCTTAAGTGAAAGCGTAAGAACCTCCATACCAACGCTTCCAAAACTTCCGTTCCATTACTTTGATTCGATGCATAAGAGCCAATAAGACGATCTCGAAAAGATCAAAAGGACATGATTTTGTACCAGCACCCAATTTATTATTTATTTTCTCATTTGAGAGTCCCAAATCGACGTGAAGATGCAATTTTCAAGTGCCCAGTGGATGCAGTTTCCAACATTACCAGGTGATCCGATACCAAAATGTGCACATTAAAAAGACATTAGCCCAGCACTCAGGAACCGATATCGGGTCGAGAAGCATTCATCAGTCGCCGCCAGAAAAAAAGTACTTTTTGTTAATGTTTGAGCTTATGAAGGAAGAAAAACAACACATCATTACCGACATGTGCGCGGCTTGAGAGAACGAAGCGAACAGGAGGAGCAACTTGACGCGGTCGAGTGGGGCAGCAAACACGGCCGTGCCGCCTGGCTGCTCCCGCTAGTGATGATTTTCTCGCACTTTCTCCTCGGTGTTGTTTTTTTTCGAAGCTTGAACTTTGAGCCGAACTCGACATTTCTGGCCACCGTTACTGCTGATGATCGCTCGGCAAATCTCCGGTCTAGTGACGATGAGCAAGAAAAAAAGGGGAAACAGGAATTACACGAAATTTGTGTAAAAGATCAGCTAAAGTTAAGATGCACAACATGCACGATCTTGGAGATTGTTGCCATGGAGATTAGCAACTTTAGAAGTTTAAGGTACGTGTCACTTTCAGCAGGGCACTTTTTATCACTTGGAAGCAAAAAAAAAACCTTAGCCTGAAATGAGGCTGAATCTTCTGTTGAATGAATATAATGGACAAACGCTGTTAACGTTTTTAATATTCGATTTCGAAAAAGCATTCAAAATTTAGTAAAGTTTATTTACAGAACACGTGGAAAATATTTCTGTCATTAAAATTTAAAAAATGCTGTTAACTTTTTTTTTATTATTTAAAAAAAATGATACATGTAGTAGATCAGGTATCCTAAACCAAACGTTATGAAGTTGACGAACCAAATACCATTAAATTAACAACTTATACTCCAAAGATTCCCGCTGGTGTAAACATCTATAGGAATGGTTGATTTTTCAAGAAATGTCCTTATTAAAAAAAAAAAAGAGTAAAATTATCCTTTGCAAGATAGATCAACTTGAACTAAGAGTGCCACACAAACGATAATATCAGTGCATCGCTTGCACTTTTGGCACCAATTGGGGCCCGACTCGACATTTTTACAAATCACCGGCCAAAAAAGCCCAATATACAATCCCCCCCCCCCCCAAAAAAAAAAAAAATGACAGATTTTCAAAGACACCACAGTAATAAATGACAAGCAATTTCGATCCACTGCCAGCGAAGTATTCTTTTTGATGAAGATGGGTACGATAACAAGTACGAAGCTCTCAGCGTGTCGCTTGGAGAACCGAGGCGGGCAATTATAGCGCTCGAGCCGGTAGGGCTGATTGCCAGTGAACAGCAGGCCCTCGACCTTCGGAGTCCGTACCCAGGGGGCTTGGCGGTTTACCTCAGAAGCTGACGTTCCGTTTTTTCCGTAATCTGATTGGAAGCTTCTCAAAGTGCGTCAAACGCTTTCCAATCCACTTTCCATCAAAACACTTCAAATTTGTGTTGGTCTTGTCAACTTTAAATCGCCACATTCTTGTGTTGTTTCGTAAACTTATGTTTGTTTGCGAGACACTGCTGTATATGGCCGTTCTCTGCAATACCAAGTTTTCATTTTCCTTTAGAAACTCTCTCACGTTGTCTTTTGGCCAACACCCGTCTACCTTTGTAAATTCTTTCCAAACGCTTATGAACGGACCCTTATTAGGAGACTTTTCTAGGACGCTTGTTGGCAGCAAACACGCCGCCATTTTGTAACCTGCCACGTGAGTTTCTGCACACGCGCACGACCATTTAATCAAAACAAGTCAACTAAATTAGTATGTTGCCCTACTGCACGTCTTCCACAACTCGAATACTGAATACCACAGAGAGTCATTGAAACACTAGGCCTTCCAATCGACAGATTTGAGTCATGACTGACTGATTGAGGTCGCTCTTGAATATAGCAGTCAAAAATGCTGGGACTGGGAAAAAATCCAAAGAAACTAGATTCTTATTTATTTTCTCCTTGATGAACACCTTCAAACTGATAACTTATCAACTCCAAACTGATGTTATTTTCAAACCGAAGAACTGGTAAGAAAGCAACCCAAAATGGAGATTTTTATATCAGCTGGTTAGAAGACTAGGACAGCATTTGAACTCTCGACCTTAGAGATAGCGCAATGGTACCTCTATGAACTACGCACTTGACTTTATTCTCCTTCGAGATAAAAACAAGTCTGCGTTCAGGTCACATCACATCTCACTGACCTCTTAAATGTACCTTATTGTTTGGCAAAATCTCAGTTTACGCATCTCGCAAAAAGCAAGACGTCCAGAAACAGTTCAACCGCCCGGTGTGTGATCTTTGACGTCGAGACGATAATTAGCCGTGTATGTAGCCAAACGCACCACAAAATTAATAGTCTGCACTCCTAGCTGTATTCCCATGTGAATGATTAACCCACCAGGGTAGACATTGCATTAGTTTGGTGTGATATTAATAGAGGAATCCTCTCGAATTGGAGCAGGACTGAAGATGAAGATGGTCCATCTTAACGAGAACTGCTCATCACTTCGCCACCGCAACGAGAGCAATCGAGGTAAATTAGTGCTGGGTTTGTTGCTACCGTATGCGAATCGGTATCTGTGGAACCATGGTGGAACACACTGCACTTGACCATTTCAAGGGTCATTCTGATACGTGATTGAAATCACGTTAGAACATTTATCATTTTGTTGACCTCCATCCTTCATTGGTGCAAAGCTGCTAAATGTAACAGGGTATAAATACGATCGTGAACACTTCCAAAGTGTATTAGGCCTATACCATGTTAAATTGGTGTGCATGTTTGAAATTAACTAGGAGTTTTGTCTTTCATACATTGTGGAAAGCTATCAGTCCCTAACTTGTTGAATATTGTTAACGTTTAAACTGAGATTTTATCGCTGGTGCTGTTTGAAGACAATTGTGACGATGATTCTTGAAATCGCGGTTTTTTTTACGAGACAGGTTTTAGTGTCATTGTGTTTAAATGGGAATATTCTTTAAACGGATTGACCAATTTCAGTACTTTTTTTATCTAAAGGGAGCTTATGAAATTGGCTTT